AGATTAGCAAGTGTGCGCTTGTAAAAATGACGCCTGGCTGGAATGCTCCCCAGGGAGTGGAGAATGTGCATGCATTGTGTGCGGGTAAGCCTGAATCCGATGATCGGGGTAATAATATATATATCTGTAAAGCGCTTTGAGAGGGCCTTCGGTCTTGAAAAGTGCTATATAAGAACTAGCTATTATTATTAATATTATTATTTTGTAGTTTTCGACCCACAAAGGAAGGGTTATAAAGAGTCAATTCGTCATACGTTTAATGTTGGTCTGTTAACTGGGTCATGCATTGATGGGTGGGGGGGGGGGCATCTAACTTCATCACATCTATCTATTCTTGTGGGATAAAAGCTTATCAACGAATTTCATTCATTAAAAGGCATTTATATGAGAAATATTATCCAGTGTCATGCATTGCCTAATTATCCCTGAATAAAATCAAGTAGTATGATATATATCAGCTGAAATGTCCCGTTTCTGTATACATCGACATTGTTCCGTCTGATTCCTCTCTATCTTTCTATCTCTTTAGATTAAACTTCATATCTTTCTTTCTAACATTAATTCTCTTTTTCTCTCTCCTTCCCTATAAGGCTTCCTCGCTTTCTCTTTCTCTCACGTTCGCCTGTATTCTACAAACTATCATACATGTATATCGATTGTCTACATTTTTATTTCCATTTCTTCATCCATTCAGGAGGTCGAAGTAGATGGAGAGAGAAAGAGAGGAGGGAGAGAGAGAGAGAGAGAGAGAGAGAGAGAGGGAGGGAGAGAAACTTTTGATAGAAATAGAATGTGGAAAAAGTGGAGAGGAAAAAAATATGAGAGAGAGCGAGGGAAAAATACAGAGATCGGTTAAGAGAGGGAAGGTGGAAGAAGAAATATATATAGAGAGGGAGAAAGAGAAGGGGATGGAACGCTTTTTAAAGAAGAAAGAGGTTGAGAGACTGAGGGGAAATAGAGAAAGAGCAAGTGTGTGGGTGAGTGTCTGATTAAGAGTTGGGGAGCAATGTAAGATTGAACGGGGGAGATAGATCAAATAGAGATATATCCCCCCCCCCCAAATATTTCAGGTGGGGGGGGGGGGGTGGCCTGTACAATCACCCCCACCCCCAATAATTCACCATCAACAAAAAAATGAAGAGAACAATAATGATGAGAGCCCGATGAGAGTAGTTGATGGTTATTACTCGCAAGATGACCAGCGCTATACACATTTTGCTATCTCATTTTAATAATATATACATATATAAATAGAAAACGAAGTAAATGAGACAACCGTATATGAGACAAAAATAAATTGAATTCTCGCTCATACGGCTTCATCAGGAATTGATGAATTTATTCAATTTATTAAATCAACAGCATCATAAAACTGCAGAGCGACAAAATGCAAAGAGAGGATAATAACCCAGGTAGCAAGCCTATGTGGGACCCACATGGGTCCCATATTCTCTGAAACATACAGGCGCCGATCCAGGATTTCTTAGGGGGAGGGGGGCCCAAATTTGAAATTATGCGACCCAAATATTGGTACGTAATGGTGACCAGCATTGACGTAATGGATGGGGGGGGGGGGTGCAGGGAGGGGCGATTTCACCCCTCCCTCCTCCGCAAAGCGCCGTTTCGTTAAATTATTAGAGAAAGAAGACGATTCGTTGTCCCGTTCTCGAAAATAATCCACGTCTGAATACAGTTTCCACCTCCCCCGCGAAGCGCGGAAGCTTTTACGTTTCGTTAAATCATAGAGAATGGAGACGATTCGTTGTACCGTTCTCGAAAATAATCCTCGTCTGAATTCAGTTTCCCCCCTCCCCTACTGCGCGAAGCGCGGAAGTTTTGACGTTTCATTAAATCATTAAAGAAAGAAGACGATTCGTTGTACCGTTCCCGACTCTTAATCGTTGTCTTAATCCAGTCCCTCTTGCGCGAAGCGCGGAAGTTTTGACGTTTCATTAAATTATTTGAAAAAAAATTTGTTGTACCGTTCTCGACTCTTAATCCTTGTCTGAATTTCAAAAATTATTTCTGTCTACTTCTTTTTCTTCCTTTTCCTTTTCTCTCCTCTCTTTTTTTGGCCGGCTTTTTTTGGGGGGCGCCCCCACCGCCCCTGGCTACGCGCCTGCGGTCAGATGAACATATTTTGATACCTTGTCCGCCCCCGGAAAGTCAGGGGTTTAAGGCAATAAATTACGGTCAGATAAGCATTCAGGGGACCGCCTTAGGGCCCCTGGTGGGGTCCAGGGGGCAGAGCCCCCGGAAGCTCAAGGGTTTAAGGGCACTAAATTACGGTCAGATGAGTATCAAGGGGCGCACCTTAGGGCCCTCGGTTTGGTACAGGGCCAGAGCCCCCGGAAGCTCAGGGGTTTTATGCGAATTACGGTTAGATGAGCATTTTTGTATACCTTATATTGTTGCGACACTGGCAACTATTTTTTCTTTCTTGCTCTCATTCTTTCTTTCTTGCTCTCTTTCTTTTTGTTTCCTTAATATCCTTTTTCAACAAAAGTGGAGGGGGGGGGGGCTCGAGGAGCTCCCGATCCCCGCTGTTTCGCAGGCCCTGGCATGTAGGCATCTCAAGAAGCATATTTCTTGCCTGGCTGTAAATTTAGGAATTTGTCATTTTACAACAAACACGTAAAAAAAGTATAATTTACTAAAAAATCACGGAAAATTATGTCATTTCAGCATAATGTGTAAACCCCCGTTATGGAATTAGAAATAAATCACGTTTGAATTTTATTTCCCCCGAACCCCCTCCCCGATCAGTACGCCAGTGCCCCCTCCCCTGATCTGATATCCCCCTTCTTTTCTTTTCTTCAAACTTCCTTCCCTTTATCTCCTCTTTTCCTTTTTTTCTTTCCATTTCCTTCCTGCTCTCTTCTTTTTTTGATTGGGGGGACGCCCCCCCCCCCCGATCTCCTTCTTGCCCCTTTTCTTTTCTTCATCCTCTTCTTTCTTTCCCTTTCTCTCCTCTTTCCCTTTCCCTTCCTTTCTTTCTCTCTCTATCTCTCTTTTTTTGCAGGGGGGGGGGGGGGGGGGCAAAGGCCCGCTCGCCCCACTGGATCCGCGCCTGCATCTACCTTATATCTACTAACGTTAGACCCTAATAATGGATCTAGAAGATTGCTTGACCTGGTCTGAGTGACTTGTAAACTTTTTTTTCTCAATTACTTGGTCTAACCGAGAAAACCGTCTAATTTTACTTTAGATTTTCAAACAGTAACACTTACGACCTAAATTAGGCCTAAGCCCAAGGGCTGTACTCTACATTTTAATAACAAATTAACGTTAACGTAAACTGTTGTTTCTCTGTGATAGAAATGGGAAAGGAACACTTTTTGTAAAAAAAACAAAATAAAACTCTTTTTGTACCATATTCTTAGACGGAAATCGAGGCATGCGGCTTCGTTAAAAGTACTATATAGTCCCATTTGCAGGCCAAAGAAATGAAAAAGGTTAAATTACAACGGCATTTGAAAGATAATACTAATTTAGAACTTCCCTCAAAACGAAAGGGCTTGAAAATGTCTTTTGTGGGAAGGAAAAAGAAGTCATCCTCATCATTTCTCTTTTTCTATTCTAGTTAATCATCTTTCGAATATTTGTTAAACCTATTTTCCCCCTCAAATCTTGTCTTTTAACAATTTGATCTTATTTCTTTAAAAAAATAGAGATTGTATTAGTAATATTTTTTTAAATTTTGTTGCTTTTAAGCTATTGAACATGTTAAATAATTATACTAAGTTAGACAGCACCACATGTGCGCTGAGAAACACCTGTATAAAGCGCCCTATAAATGTAATTATTATTACCCCGGTAGTATTATTATTAAAAATGTAGTTTTCGCATGTTTTCTATTCTTTCTTAAGTTTCTTTCATTTTGCCTCTCGATCCCTCCCCAAAATTCATTTACATCTCTTTTTCACTATCGACTTTCGCTCATTCTCAGTTCCCCCAAAGCATGTCGTGCTGTAGAAATTATAGTTTCTACAATCTATCTATCACCATAATGCTGACTTAATACACAACATCATGCCCCGGCCCTCTCAAACTTAAAAACCTCTGCTGTCTAATAAGCCATTTTCATAATGTAACCAAATTTAATGCATAAGTCATTGTGAAGTGCCTCAATACAAATTATTTCATTCAGCTCATAAGAATAATATTTTTTCAATAGACAGAATCTGAACTGCATACATGAATTGTTGCCAGGAAGGACAAACATTATGGCTTGTCCTACCTAGCAACACTTAATATATGCAGTTTGCATTCTGACTATTGAAATACTATTATTCTTATCAGGTGAATGAAATAATTTGTATTGAGGCACATCACAAAGACTTATGCATTAAATTTTGTTACATTACGAAAATAGCCTATTGGTAAACGGAAAAACACATTCAGATGACATAACGATGCAATAAAACAAACACCATCTTCCTTTAGGTATCCATTAATTGATTTGTTTTTATTATAAAAAAAGGATAATGTACAAACTGGACTAAAACTTTACATACAGGATTGGCGACCAAGATTAAAGTCATACATTACTATACATTCCACATGATTCCAGGCAAAATTATAGAGATTACCTGAAACTCACACTATGAACATGACGGACAAAGAAAGAGGACAAAATATACAGTTCCTCATTCTACTCTCAACAATTGCTGTGGTAGACAAAGGAACATCCCTTCACTGCTATTATGTAAAAATGTGTAGAACAGGTGTCACATACATATTCACCTGTTCTACACATTTATACATAATAGCAGTGAAGGGATGTTCCTTTGTCTACCACAGCAATTGTTGAGGGTAGAATGAGGAACTGTATAGTTTGTCCTCTTTCTTTGTCCGTCATATTCATAGTGTCACAGAGGCAAACAAAGTTGAACCTGGTTAATTTATGCAGCACCAAGCATCAACTGTCTTTAACTGTACAAATTTTACTCTACATGTTATTCTTTGATTACATGAATAATCAAAACAAAATCCTGTCATTAAATACAAATTAGAAATTAAATAAAAAGATTGACATTACGTGAGCTTCATGTGCTTGTGAATTTTGAACATGTATTATGATATCTTTAATTAATTATTAATTAAAGGCCACAAAGGCCATGGGTGAACCTTTGATCAATCGACCTCTATACCCCTACCCAAAATCAATCTTTGTGACTTGGAGATTTATAGGTGCCCATTCTAGATCATCCTATGCATCGTGTAATAAATGGATGCGCTCTTTAGAAAAAGTGGCTGTGCTCTATAAATAATGAACTTAAGGCAGGTTTAGGTGATTTATTTTTACAGTAAGAGGTTGACATTTGGCGAACCATAAAACTAGGTACTTAAGACGTTTTCACATATTCCGCAGTAAACCAAGACTTTTTTAACATTGAAGTTCTTATGCATATTTACCTAGCTCTACGTTACGAGACACAAAAATGTGATGCATATTACACTCGTGTCATTTAAAAACAAAAACAAACATAAAATGCTACAGTTGACTATGGCTTTAAAGGTACTATGTCCCTTTTGCAGCCAACCTCAAATTCTGTAGAACTTTGCAGGAATTATGAATATGTCACGTATGTCCTATCTGTGAAATTTAAACGTTAGCAGTGTCCTAATATTCAAATTATGCAAGGAAACCCGTTACTTGCTAGACTTCACTGTCAGACACTATTGAGTGACCGACTGGCTTTTTTTTTTCTTTGGTAATAACATATATAAAATGAGCTGTAAAGGGTACATGAGCATTTGTCTACATCAATAACCCACTTCTTGTGATGGCCAAAAATTAACTGATTGAATCTTTGCGCAGCATAAAACGTATGACCATTCGGTACAATGGTCTGAAAATCAAGACTATTACTTATTGGCTCTATAGCCCTAAAGTCGATTTGACAACTAATAGTCATTATTTTCCCACTTGAAGACATTTCCGAGTCCCAACTTTTTTAGGGAAGTTCTAAATTAGTAATATCTTTAAAATGCCGTTGGAAATTAACCTTTTCATTTTTTTAGCCTGCAAATGGGACATAGTACCTTTAATATCTGAAGAAGGCTTAACTTTACTTCATCAGTCACGGTTTTAAACCTCTATTTAAGTTTGCAGTTTGTATGAATACCAGCAATTGTTATTACAAGGTCTGGCTAGTCTGCAAGCACAGACCCTAATTTGACACTTTATCAAAAATAATGGGCCTTGAGAGAAGTCTAGCCCAGCTACCTACCTACTGGTTGTTTCAATCAGGAGCAGCTACAGTTCATGGCCTATGGTAGTCTTATAGTGCAGACTCACTTTTACGACTGACCAGGGTTTGTGCTTGCAGACTAAGATCTGGCTACATGCAGGAAAGCCAATTTTAAAGTGCAAGGAGTCTATGCCGTTACTGATCATTGACTGTTAAACTACACACATGTACAGTTTGGCCCGAACAATATACATTATCACAACTTCACCAATTCCTGCCAAATTTTCACTTCAAGGCCCCTGTTTCACAAAACTTGTCATCAGTGACAAATGACGATTTTTGTTATAAGCTACTGAAATCCTTGCTTCTGATTGGTTATCAGCAGATTTGTCACTGTTTTGGGGGTCATTTGTCATCGAAAAAGGCTCTGTGAAACACCCCCTGTTTAATGTATGTAGTAAGTGTACTTTAACATCATTAATCACTCTGAGAGATTTATCTATGTGACTCATAAAGCTGTTCATAAAGCTGTTCATAAAGTTCATAAAGGTGTTTCATAAAACTGTTCGTAAAGGTACGCATGACTTGACAAACATCTTGTATATGAAAAGCCAAATGGGATGCTCAATCATTATTAAATACATCAACTAAAGTTGAACTGTGCAGATGTAGATTAACATTCTTATGATAACAAACATTTCTAATGCAAAGGATATTTTTGCCATAATTTAATTGAGGTTATTGAAAATATCAGAAAAAAACTTTGGTCGTCCTATCTGGCACTTCATATACAAGTCGTTCGTAAAGTCATGCGTAACTTTACGAACAGCTTTATGAAACATCTCCCTGATAGGATGGAGTGCAGATGTGAAAATGAGATTACATTTTTCTCTTCCTTCCTGGGCCCTTTTGCACAAAACTGACCATTAATGGTAACTTTGCCATCAATGGTAACTACCATGGAAACCTGGATTTTGATTGGTTGTTGAGCCCTGTTGCCATGGTAGTTGCCATTGACGGCAAAGTTAGCATCAATGGTAAGTTTTATGCAACAGGGCCCTAGTGTGTGCAAACTTTCGGACCCATCTGTATATGGATACAAAAACATTTTACAGAGGGCGGTCTATACTGTCCATGTATATTGTGATCGACAATGATGTATTCATATAACCACATACACATATACATGGCATGATTACAAACCTTACATGAGGTGGTTCGTGATTACCTGACAATCGATGTATTTATATATTCACCACATACATAATTATACAGATATATACTTTTAAAATCTATAGTAGGAGCCAAGTGTGATTAAACACAATGAATGAAATAATAGACTACAGTGAAAAAAATAAAATAAATTTAAGCGATGAAATACGGGTCATTGGCAGCTGCTTCAATTTCTAAACAGATGATGTGGCACTTTCCTTGAAAATATGTTAACCCTTACTGTACTGGGCTATTTTGAGCACCCACTGACTGGGGGGGGGGGGGGGGGGGGGCCTGGGAGGCCCCCCCCCCCTATGATCTCGACCGTTGATTGTCCGATGAACACGAAAATTTGCATGTTTGTAGATATTTATGTAAGGAACAAGATGGTATAATTAGTTTTTTTCCGAATATGCAAATTTTTGTCGTTAGCCTAATTAATTATGCAAAATGCGCTAATTTTATGCATTTTACCGAAAACGTGTCAAACTCCACTTTTTGAATGTTAAAACTCATTATTCATATGAAACTTCTTTTCTAACACAAAAAGTTATTTTAATGTAATTAATAATGATAATTTATGCAAATTTTGATGCGATTTTCATTTTTTTTTGTTTTTTTGATGACATGCGCATACTAATTGTTATGTAATGCCTCACAGGTATATCCGATTTTGACGAAAATGTTATCAAAATGTGCGTAAGAGTTGAGGGAAAAAAGTCATGAAACGACAATTAAAAATTCCAAGCGGTTGCGGCGCAATCTCCGAAAATGTCGAGGGGGGGGCCTCCCAGGCCCCCCCCCCCCCCCAGTACAGTAAGGGTTAAAAGCTCCTTTGCTCATTTTCACAAAACATGTTAGACATGGCTATTAACTTGAGAATTAGTTTCAAAACGATGTAATCATGTACCGGTACTAATTCACTATCGTGCATTCATGAAGTCCATATTGATGAATGAATGGCAAGACCTGAAAAGTTTGCCAGTATGAATCTTTCGCAAAATACACCAGTTGAGATTAATGAAATCTCCATCAAGCAAAATGAATGAATTACAAAACCAATAATTTGCAAGTGGATTCAGCATTGCTGAATGACCATCTTTGCCCTACGGAGAACCAGAATGCTAGAGTACAAGTATCTGTGATCTCCTATGAAGAGATGAATTTGTAATTTTGTATGAAGTCAATCTATACAGGACTTATTCCTTAAGATTCTCAACATGCCGTCCTCAGGATTTAAGTACTGTACAATGCAAGAACATAGACTGTGATAGTACATGTACACAAACATCGTCATCTTTGAGGGGCATGGTTAAAGGGAGTCACTCGTCAGTTTCCATGTGCAGAAGGCCATAATTCGCTGACACCAGACTTGGTGGATACAAATCTTTGAAGTGTGTACAGGTACTAGTACTGCACACAGCGAACCAGTAGGCCAATCAAGAAATACCACCCTTGTCTCTCGGAGAGTCTTTGGGTGAGGGAAAAGTGAGATAATGACTTTACCATGTGGGGGATAGGGTGGAAAACGCAGTACATTACATAAGGCCTGTTGGTCATAAAACTGACCGCTAATTTTGGTGATTGACAGCACCTCTTATTGGGTAAACATCTCTTGTGAATTTCACGAAAGTTTCGAACACGAGAAAATGACGAGATTTACACGACAGTGAATCTCATTTTCCTTTGGCATGGACCTACTGTAGAACCGCAAGCACTTGTTGCGTGCGCGAAACGTTTATCATGAATTTCGCAATTGTCTATACGCTGTGAAACAATTGAATCGCGACGGACACAACACTGAATTTCTGCAAATCACAAAAGCTTCTTGGTACACTTAGCTGTTGGCCACTAATTGTAAAACAATATAATTTTAATAGTACCGGTAATAGTGAGTTTCTGGTTCTACAGCAGACAATGAGGTGGACTATTATCTCGTGTGGGAACCAACATTTCTTCGGTTGATCTTATCGTGCAGGTGAGATGCCTTCATGGCCCATGTTACAGTAGACATAACAAAACATGAATAAATCTAAAAAACATTTATCGGAATGATGCCACCATGAATTGATCATCATTTATCTTTCCTATGTACAAAGTCATTGCTAGCTTAAAACAAGATGGCCACCGACCGCTAATACACCAGTTTACGGTTATGGGCGCCATTTCAATTTACGAGTAAACAAACCAAATGGCCTCTAGAGGTCAGTGGTTTATGCGTAAATTAAGGTTGTGCCCATGCAAATTATGATGACATCACTGTCTGCGTACTGCGTTGTGCGCTCACATCATAATTTGCATGGGCGCAATCTTAATTTACGCATAAACCACTGACCTCTAGAGGTCATTTGGTTTGTTTACGACTCGTAAATTAAAATAGCGCCCATGTCTGCGCATGCACACTGTTGTAACTGTAAACTGGTGTATACCCCCCTCTGCCATACACACACAGCTGATACCAAGGTCAAAGGTCAATTATACACCAAGAGTATTCAAACCATTTCCATGTACATAAATGGGACATAAATTGAGCAACATTCTTAGAAAATGGCAATCAGCTGGTGTTTTGTTCCATATCAGACTCTTGGTATGTATCACACAAGTTTCTTGACGAGGGCAATCCGATGGATTCACTTGGTGGCCGATGCCTGGGGGGTGTTTCACAAAACTTGTCATCAGTGACAAATGACAATTTTTGTTATAAGCTACTGAAATCCTTGCTTCTGATTGGTTATCAGCAGATGTGTCACTGGCTTTTGTCATTTGTCATTGAAAAAAAGCTTTGTGAAACACCCCCCTGGTTGAATTAGACGAACATCCTTCACATCATTCCATGGCTATTTCCAGTAGGCGACACAAATATTTAAAAGGCAGCTATTGTTCATCATGAAATAATCTGCAAAGAGGAAACATATGAAAGAGGAATACAAATGTGTAATGTGGTGGAAAACAGATCATTTTCTACATTTACAACATAAAAAAATACACCAGTAGTATCAACCACAACACGAACATCACCATCATACCGGTATACACTTAACAAATAAATTATTCATACATCTTATAACTTTGATGTTTTGTACCAAGTACCAGAACTCACCTTTATCTTTAACTATGGCAGGCCGTACACGCCACCGGTTGCTCTCACCATTGGTCTCTCAATTATGACCTTTAGATAATATTTTGTCCTTCAATAATCAACTATCAAAAAATGTAAATTATGTAGATTTGTGACCATGATTGGTACGTCCTTTGAGAAACCAATGCCGGTGAATGATGAGAGATAATAGTGGCATGAACAGCCAGCCTGCCATAGTTATAAAGTCCAAGTTTAAGCCGATCTTAGTCTTTGTGAAACACTCCCCTGGTATGGGATAAAAGTGCTCTGATTACTTTCAAATGAATGGTTGCTATCACTATGAATATGACGGACAAAGAAAGCGGACAAAATATACAGTTCCTCATTCTACCATCAACAATTGCTGTGGTAGACAAAGGAACATCCCTTCACTGCTTTTACGTAAAAATGTGTAGAACAGGTGAATATGCATGTGACACCTGTTCTACACATTTTTACATAATAGCAGTGAAGGGATGTTCCTTTGTCTACCACAGCAATTGTTAAGGGTAGAATGAGGAACTGTATATTTTGTCCGCTTTCTTTGTCCGTCATGTTCATAGTGTATCCTTACCTCTCGGACTGTGGACTTAATGAAATCTTTCTTGTGTTGTAAGGGATGTTGTGGGTAGATATCATAGACCTTTCTGCAAACCATCTTCATCGTCACTTCCTCTAGGTTGGCTCCTTCCAGGATCTCCTTTACAGTCTCCTTGATCTGCTTATCCTACAAACAGCCAAAGATATTACAATTTAGAGGTGTCGTGGGTGAGTGGATATGTCACCGGACTGTGGATCACAAGGTCCGCGGTTCAAGTCCCACCGCGGCACTTGTGTCCTTTGGCGGTGATTGATCTACATTTGCCACTCTCCACCCAGGTGTTAAATTGGTACCCAGTAGGATGCGAAAGCTAATGTGATTAGATTAGCAAGTGTGCGCTTGTAAAAATGACACCTGGCTGGAATGCTCCCCAGGGAGTGGAGAATGTGCATACATTGTGTGCGGGTAAGCCTGAATCCAATGACCGGGTTAATAATATATATATCTCTAAAGCGCTTTGAGAGGGCCTTCGGTCCTGAAAAGCGCTATATAAGAACTAGCTATTATTATTTATTATTAACACCACCTTGATAACAATGATTACTAACCAACTGGAGAGGTCCTAAAATAATTTCCTTGATTTGTTTATCTTAAGACATTAGAAAAGTAAACAACTAAACAATTCTGTAATTCTGCAGTCACAGCAAGAAGATAGATTAAAGGGAAATCCAACCCAAAAGAAAGCAAAAAAAAATCAGAGAAGCAAACTGATGAAAATTTCAATTAAATCTGATTAAATAAAAAAAAAAAGTTATAATCACTATACGTATGTGCCCTTCAAATTGGCTGTAGCAGTAATGTCAATGTGATGTAGTGCTGGACTGCTTTCCTATCTGTTTCAACATTTAAAAAGACTAAAATTTAAATTTTTGAAAAAATTCATTGCTCAAGGGGGGGGGGGGGGGGGTCTATTCTTTTAAGAGAGCATATATTATTTGGAGTAGTGCCCCAAGGGAGAAGGAACTGATGAGAAAAACAAATTAATGATATTTTTGTACACTGCAAATGGGAGAGTTATCCACATCCTACGTCACAATCCACTGACCAAACTACCAATTTGAGATTTGCATTGACTTAGTGATCTCATATTTCAAACATTCATAACTTCCTTACTATTGGTCCGATTCATTTCAGAATTTTGCGATTCTGTTTCCGTTATTTTTCTGCTTACATACAAGTCAACTTATTACGAGCGTTGGTTGGATTGCCCCTTAAACACCTCATCTTGAGGGAGCCCAAATTTAACTTGCAAAGCTCTTGAAAGGCCAAAATGTTTGTGGTTATCCATTAGTTTGATGGCCTTACATGTGTATAAGATACTTTGGAGATTTACTTTTTGCTTCAAGTAAATCAAAATCTGAAAACTGACCATGCATTTTGATCAATCGTAACCCTGGGATTTAGCTCATATAGTCTTCATGATTTACTTACTAAATAACTAACAAATAACATAGGAAATTCTTGATTTATAACAACACATAATAATCAGTCGATCAAAACTCTATTTACAATAATGAACACAGCCTTGTATGCACAGGACACATTAAAAGCCTAAGAAAAGAAAGAAAGAAAGGAGAAGAGGAGGAAAACGGAGAGGGGAAGAGGAAGAAGAAAAGGAGGATGAAGAAGAAGACGGGGATAGAGGAAGAAGAAGAGGAAGAAGAAGAGGAGGATGAAGAAGAAGACTGGGATAGAGGAAGAAGAGGAAGAAGAAGAGGAGGATGAAGAAGAAGACTGGGATAGAGGAAGAAGAGGAAGAAGAAGAGGAGGATGAAGAAAAAGACGGGGATAGAGGAAGAAGAGGAAGAAGAAGAGGAGGAAGAAGAAGAAAATGGGGATAGAGGAAGAAGAGGAAGAGGAAGAGGAAGAGGAAGAAGAGGAAGAGGAAGAGGAAAAGGAAGAGGAAGAGGAACATGAAGAGGAAGAAGAAAAAGAAAAAGGAAGAAGAAAAAGAAAAAGAAAAAAAGAAAAAGCAGATTATGCTGTCAAAAGAGAAAGATGTTTGAAAGTGAGACTCAGTTAAGGTATCATTTGAGTAACTTACTGAAGGTGGTGCCTTGATTTTCTTCATCAGGGGCTCCTCATCGGAACTGTCATCATCTGTGTGAGAAGTTATAAGAAAAATATTCTACATTATTTTCTATATAAGGCTTCCAAGTGGTACAATAAATCAGTGTATTCAATATCTTTAGCGCAGTACCCAGATATGACTGACCAATATTGTTTTCATATTGCTCAGTCATCCGGGAACTTCAACAATCGATATCGATATCATGGCGATATCACACGAAAACAAAGCTTTAATTACAGAGGTAAGTCAATTTTTTTTATTTCGCTCGTCAGACTAATATAGATAATAATAATATTGTATGGCTTGTTTTCGTGTGATACAAAAATATATTGCTCTCGCTAAGACAATATTAGACTCGTCTTTGACTCGTCTAATATTGTCATAGCTCGAGCAATATATTCTTGTATCACACTCAAGGCCATCAAATATTATATAATTACTCATGTTCCTAATTTGAATTCTTGATGTCATTTTTGTACTTTACAAATAGGGTTACCTCTACTCACTATGAATATGACGGACAAAGAAAGCGGACAAAATATACAGTTCCTCAGGTAGATAAAGGAACATCCCTTCACTGCTATTATGTAAAAAGGTGAATATGCATGTGACACCTGTTCTACACATTTTTACATAATAGCAGTAAAGGGATGTTCCTTTGTCTACCTGAGGAACTGTATATTTTGTCTGCTTTCTTTGTCAGTCATGTTCATAGTGAGTAGAGGTAACCCTATTTGTAAAGTACAAAAATGACATCAAGAATTCAAATTAGGAACATGAGTAATTATATAATATTTGATGGCCTTGAGTGTGATACAAGAATATATTGCTCGAGCTATGACAATATTAGACCACTTTGTCCACTTTCTTTGTCAGTCATATTCATAGTGACTGTCTCTGAAACATTCAAAGTTGAAGAAGTTGAACAACAACAACAAAATCACGCTATTTACACTTCCTACAGGTAAGTGTAGATGTAGAGTTAACTGTACTTCATTCAAAAAACCACTTCCATTTACTGCAATGAAAATGTACACAATGACTTCTTTCTCTTTCTGTTTACACATGCTCATGTTTATTCAGGGCCCCATGGAAGACCGCTACTTATTGGTGAATGGGCTACCCTGTCAAAAGATTAGAAATAAATAAATAAATGTTCTGACGTGGTACACTCACAGCGTGCATTCCAGTTATACAAAGGTTGGGGATGGCAGCACAGGGTGGGGTGAAAAAGGGGCAACATTAAATAATAATAAGAATAATAATATTGAATATTTAGGAGCGCTAAAAACAATAAGTACCATAGCGCTTACAAATATATGAAAAGAGGACAGAAATGTACAGTACAGGAAGTATATCACATAGATCATTGGGGAAAAAGGTGAGTTTTGAGGGATCTTTTGAAGGTGGCAAGACAGGTAATTTGTATAAATGGGGGGGGGGGGGTTGCAGCACAGGGCAGGGAAGGAAAAGGTAATATTGTGAATAGAATTCTAAAAAATTAATAGAGCCTACTAATCTTACCAACAACATCATGATTTCTCTTCTGTGGTGTCTTCTGTGGTGCCTTCTTGGGTGATTTGACAGGGCTTGATTTCTTGGTCTGCTTAGATGGTGTCTTCACAGCAATCTTCTTCGGTGACTTGGTCTTGGTTTTAGCCGATTCTTTCTGGGTCTTGGGAGTTGTCGTCTTGGGCTTCTTCTTCTTCTTCTTTGGCTTGGATTCCTGTTGGTGAGAGAAATAGACTGACAATCATCAAACAAAATCATAAAAGTGGTTTAAATCATTAGAGATTTGGATTCCTGTTGATGAGAGAAATAGAACAATCATCAAACAAATTCATCAAAGTGGTATACATCATTAGAGATTTGGATTCCTGTTGATGAGAAAAATAGAACAATCGTCAAACAAATTCATCAAAGTGGTTTAAATCATTAGAGATTTGGATTCCTGTTGATGAGAAAAATAGAACAATCATCAAACAAATTCATCAAAGTGGTTTTCATCATTAGAGATTTGGATTCCTGTTGGTGAGAGAATTAGAACAATCATCAAACAAATTCATCAAAGTGGTTTACATCATTAGAGATTTGGACTCCTGTTGGTGAGAGAAATAGAACAATCGTCAAACAAATTCATCAAAGTGGTTTCATTAGAGATTTGGATTCCTATTGGTGAGAGAAATAGACTGACAATCATCGAACAAATTCATCAAAGTGGTTTACATCATTAGAGATTTGGATTCCTGTTGGTGAGAGAATTAGAACAATCATCAAACAAATTCATCAAAGTGGTTTACATCATTAGAGATTTGGATTCCTGTTGGTGAGAGAATTAGAACAATCATCAAACAAATTCATCAAAGTGGTTTACATCATTAGAGATTTGGATTCCTGTTGGTGAGAGAATTAGAACAATCATCAAACAAATTCATCAAAGTGGTTTACATCATTAGAGATTTGGACTCCTGTTGGTGAGAGAAATAGAGCAGTCATCAAACAAATTCATCAAAGTGGTTTACATCATTAGAGATTTGTTTTTAGGGCACTTCCAAATATACCAGTGGCATTCATCTATGGGTGAGACACCTCTACGAGAATGCTCAGTTAATTTTTATTTTATTTCATTTCATTTCCAGGAACATAAAGGAGTATACCAATAACAAAGAACACAAGAAACCGAATTACAATAATAAATACAATAACAGGAAAAAAGCCATCAACTAATGCCTGAGGATTACCAAAAGAAACTGAGTTTCTGTAGGAGGCTCTCCTCATTAGTTGATGGTATAATAGTAATGAAGAGAACCTCCTACAGAAACAGTTAGGCATGCATTCCTAACTTAAATTATCATCTTTTTTTGTTTAATCGTCAGCAGAGGCTATTTGGTGACTGGTGGAGATAAAATGTAACTTAAAGATAAACTCCAATTCTGGTAATGCGATTGCATTGTGAAAGAAAAGGTGTGGAATGGATCAGAAACAGTTGATCATGTAGCATGTAAGTATTGGTGTGCACTGCAAGGTTCTGGAGTCATCAAAATCATGATAAATTTGGCCGAGTCTTGGTAAAGTAACAAGCACTGTACACAGAAAGCTATATATGGGACAACACACATGGTGTCGGGGCTAGTACTACCTTGATTTCCTTGTCTTTCTATGCTCATTACTCAGCCAGTATACATTTTCTTCCAAATTGTTTGGCACATGTCATTTATTTGTAATCTTGAACATTCAGTATAAGTTTCGTTTGATTCTGTGAGAATGAATTTTTCTTTTTTTTTACCAGAACTGGAGTTTATCTTTAATTGATTCCCAGCCCAGCACTATCAATCATCCTTTGGCAAGGCATCAATCTCTGTTTGCCACTCTCCACCCGGGTGTCCCCATTATGCTACATCTTGGACTGCTTGGCTTTGGCTGGGGTAGTAATGTAAGAGTAGTAGTAGCTCTATACAGATCGAATTTATTTTTCATTTCTTGTCACATAATATAAACAAAATGACAAACAATAATAAACGTAATGATATAACAGAAGTGAGCATTGAAATATCTTTGACATTGTTTTTGGTCATTGTAATGCAAAATGAATTGGTTACAGGAAATGAAAAAAATGAACCTACTTGAAAGCAATGCTTGTTAGGTGTAGGTTCGCATTAATAATTGAACTTTATACATTTATAACTTAATGTAAGAGTGCCACGGGTGTCACAACAAGATGAACACAAGCAATATAACAGAAGCTGCTGTTGTTGTTGTTGTTGGGTTTATCGGCGCTATCCATCGGCGCTATCCATCGATTCCGATGATTTCCTACTATTATCTTACATTATATACCTCTCTTTAGTATATTGAATAAATCTATTCATCTGATTGGTCGAAATTGGAGTCGTGATTTTAGCCATGCCCGCCTACCGGTCAATAGTTTTTTTTAAAGATGCCCACATGCCGGTCAATAGTTTCTTAAAAATATGCCCATTGCCCCGGGTCGCATAAATAAATTTCGCTGGGATCCACGTTTACATGTACAAATTTTCTTTAAAAATATCTAAACAAGGCCTTATACTTACGCCTTCTGTCATACTGGTATCACCATCTTCTCCTTCCGCATCTCCTTCCGTTCCATCATCCATTGTCGTGTCTCCATCTTCTTCCGTCTCCGTGGACGCATCACCGCCCCCTTTCTTTCCTTCACCTTTCTGCTTCTTCGCTTTCGTCTTCTTCTTCTTTGTCCCTTTTGACTTGCTCTTCTTCTTGCCTAAAATCCAAACAATGATCGAGAAGGTGTAAAACGACCGAGAAGGTGTAAAACGACTGAGAAGGTGCATTTCTGTGTCTCCTCTCAATGAAATATGAAATAGATAATTAAGCATCGATTATCTTTTGGGAAATTTGTTTTTCACTGGTAAAAGTATAAGATCAATATACCAAAGAAATAATCATAATTATAGAAAATTACAGTAATTTTTTGTTTTCATAGGTTGATATCCTCTTCTCTCATAAAGAAAATTTTACAAAATTTATAACATTTTATACAAAATTACAAATAATCTTCACATAGGTCTAAATAAATTTGCAAGTGAACTTTAACATTTCAATACAAGGTTACAAATAAATTTTCATATAAAATATATTTGCAAATGAACACATGATTTACATAAGAAAAATATTCACATAAACAACATTATAGTTTCACATTAAAAAAAAAAAAATTGCACATAAAGTTTTTACAATTTCTGGTAAAAAAGGAAAATGAATTCTCACAGAATCTAACAAAACTTACACTGAATGCTCAAGATTAGAAATAAATGTCATTTGCCAAACAATTTTGGTAGAAAATGTATATTTGAGCATAGAAAGATAAGGAACTCAAGGTAAGTAGGCCCGACACCATTTGTGTAGTCCCATTTACATCTTTGTGTGTACAGTGCGTGTTACTTTACCAAGACTGGGCGAAATTTATTATGATATTGATGACTCCAGAACCTCGCAGTAAACTCCAATACTTACATGTACATGTTACATGATCAACTTTTTCTGATCCATTCCACACCTTTCCTTTCACAATGCAATCGCATGACCAGAACTCAACTTTATCTATAAAGGGATTGGGTATCTTTGCCTCAGATTCTAAACAAAATCCTGGACTTAGCTCCTGCTGCAATCATAATTATGAACCTTTAGGTCAGTCAGGAATCCATGACTTTTACAAGGAAATCGCCAGTCTGATTATCAAGATATTAATGATTGGAAATCAAATTTCCACTAGTCTATTGGAGAAAATGAGTATGGTAAAACCGGTCACTCAAAGATTTTTGCTTTTTGAGGCACTTCATGATCATTTTGAAGCGCAATAATTTAAGGGCTCCAATATTACGCCATATCACAGACACATAGGGCCAAGCATTTCAGATTTCAGATTTTTTTCTTCTTTTTTCTGTCTTTTTCCCCTTTTACCAATATTTTGTTCCTCCATATTTGTATTATTATGTATCCTTTGAGGGTAGTCATACTATCAAGCTTTGCTTACTTTGTCAACCCTCCTGTTTGATGTTTTCGATTAGCTACAGCCAGCCTTACTTTATTCTACATATATTCTTTTGTCATGTGTAAATTTGCAATATTGATTTGTTATATATTTGTAAAAATCAAAAGAAAAAGAAAATCAAACAGAAATAAATAAGTCAAATCAAATCAAATCAAATTTGTACTTGGAGACTACTCACCTTTCTCTGGTAACTTTCTACCGGAGGGTTGAGGGTTCAAACAGAATTCCATTATTCTTTCCATAATGACATCTTTGTTTCCTTTCTTCTCCACATCAAGAATGGTGCAAATCTCCTTTATTCCTTCCATTGTGAATCTTTACCATACAATGAAAAACACATTTTTAAGATTTTTATTTCTGATATTTAGACAGGGTGACTCATTATCACCAATAATGGTGGTCTTCCACGAGGCCCTGTTAAACCATAGACGTAATAGAATGGACTATCGACGAAGCAGTTTCTTTGATCCTATGAGTTCCACCGGCAAGGTTTAAATTTCGCGCCAATGCAAAAACCCAGCGGTGGTCCCACCGCAACCCGACAGCTGGATGCGATCACTTGCGCAATCTTTCATAATCGCAACAGCAAGCTCGCGATTTGGGGTTGTTCGCTGCTCCTTCAAATCGTTGAGAACCTAGTGTTAAATAGTATGAGCGCTCTCCGCCATGCGGTCGTAGCGAACATGTTTTCGTCTTTGTGCCTGACGATATTATTGTTATTGTTTTCAGCGTTGTATTTATACTAACAATTATTATTTATTTCGATGTGTGTATTGTTCCATAATACATATTTTTCTCGTACTCATGAGTCATGTGTTGTTTATAAAGTAATTAGAAGGGCAGGATTATCATTAGATGACATAAATAAGGAAGAACTTTATGATTATGATGGGCAGTCCATATATCGACATAGCAGACGACGGAAATGTTGAATATTTTGCAATGGTCAATTCCCAATTTACGGACACAGATATTTATCCTAATTCCTAGATTCTCAAAAAAAACGTACACATAATTTATAGTAGGCCTACATCAAGATAAAATAAGATAAAATCTGAGGGAAGAAAAAAAAAAGCAGTCACTCTCGGATTAACAAGTCCAAAATATAACTTGAAAAAAACATGCACCCGCCGATCTCTATCAATGGGACTACGTGTGCAATTTGGATTAGACAAAGGCACGGCAATTTAGTGGTCATGATGCGAAGAAGTCACGCATTACCACAGATTTTCTGAGCACTCACGAAAACAACCTCATTCTTCCAATGCCTATAAAAAAAACGCACGCAAACGCAACAAATAACGAATGATTGTATTCGACCAGCGAAGGATTTGTGATCACCACAACGTCGTTGGTTTCACAGAGAAATTAACGGAAACAGGAGAAAAAAACACTTTTTAAACTGTATTTTGTAAGCTCTTGTGGTGACTTTCCTTGCTTATATGATGAGTTTGCTACACACCAACACAAATTCGTAAAAAATCGAAGAAATCACCGATTTCAACGGCTTTTTTACAGATTGGCGAGCATGAACAGGACGAAAACCTCATGTTTACATCCGGGGCATTATTGACGTAGTATTTAGCTGCGCATGGGCAGAAGGCTCTCCTGTCACGATTCATTCATGAAATGAGAAGCGCAAATCGTGGGAAGCATTGGTCAGTGCGAAGCGACTTGGCCGATAGAGGTCGGCAAAATCCCGGTGGATCTCATAGGACCAAAGGACCCTTATCGGAGCTTATCAAAACATGCCCGCAGCGTTGCGGTCAGACTTAAAACATAGAAGAAAGTAAGACATAAGAACAGGTGGTAGCTATCATTACTTTTACTACTCTTGCCGTCAAAAGTCCATTTCTATTACGTCTATGGTTAAACATAATGAGGTACATCAGTTTAACAAATATATATATTATAATAATATTATAATAATAAAAATAATAATAACAAAATCTTGAACATAAATTTTGACACATGAAGGTTTGAATTGCATAAATTTGGCATCAAAATGTGCGGGAGATTTGAAAGAAAATTCATGAAACGTGAATCCGGAAATCAAAGCGGCTAAGACGCAGCGCGAAAAATCCTGAAGGGGTGAGGCCACCCCGCCCCTACGAACCTCATTAGTTTTCTAGTTAAGCAATCATCATTTAGTAGTATGATTGAATCATCTCAGTAAATAATAATAATAATAATAATAATATGAAATATTTAGGAGCGCTAAAAACAATAAGTACCATAGCGCTTACAAAAACAAATATATGAGAAGAAGACAAAAATGTACAGTACAGGAAGTATATCACATAGATCATTGGGGAAAAAGGTGAGTTTTGAGGGATCTTGTGAAGGTAGGAAGGCAGGTAATTTCCCTTATGGAAAGAGGCATGCTGTTCCAGGTCTTTGATGCAGCTACTGCCAACCGTTTTCAGCTGCTGAGAGTCTAGATGTGGGAGTGATAAGTTTACATGTGTCGGTTGCTAAACGAAGATTACGAGTTGGTGTATATATCTGTAAGGGTGTCATTATGATATTGAGGTGCCAAATGATTGAGTATTTTGAAAGCATACAAACAGAATTTAAACAGAACACGTTGGTGGAGAGGTAACCAGTGGAGTTTCTTAAAGGTACTATGTCCCATTTGCAGGCCAAGAATGAAAAAGTTAAATTCCAAAGCCATTTGAAAGATAATACTAATTTAAAACTTCCCTAAAAAAGGTGGGGCTTGAAAATGTCTTCAAGTGGGAAAAAAACGATTATTAGTTGTCAAATCGACTAAGGAGCTATAGAGCCGATAAGTAATAGTCTTGATTTTCAGACCATTGTACCGAATGGTCATACGTTTTATGCTGTGCAAAGATTCAATCAGTTTAATTTTGGCCATCACAAGAAGTGGGTTATTAATGTAGACAAATGTTCATGTACCCTTTACAGCTCATTTTATGTATGTTATTGCCAAAGAAGAAAAAGCCGGTCAGTCACGCAATAGTGTCTGACAGTTAAGTCTAGCAAGTAAACGGGTTTCCATGCATAATTTGAATATTAGGACACTGCTAACGTTTAAATTGCACAGATAGGACATACATGACATATTCATAATACCTGCAAAGTTCTACAGAATTTGAGGTTGGCTGCAAAAGGGACATAGTACCTTTAAGTTAGGGTGAAGTATGAGTTCTTGACCCAAGGCCAAAGATTAATCTAGCGGCACGATTCTGGACAGTTTCAAGTTTCCTTCTATCTTTAGCACATAAAACAGTATAAAGACTATTGTAATAATCCAACCTAGAAAGAATTAGAGCTTGGACATCATGGTGACATGTCTTAAAATCAATGAATCTACCGAATAGGCTTACTTGACTAAGAGAGCTTCTCTCTTTGTGTAATCAGGATCTTCTTTACTGAACTCAAATCCTGAGAACTGCCTGATGTTTCTCTTGTTCTCTCTAGGATCCTGTAATGTGGGAAGTGTAAGGAAAAATCATCAAAAGTTATGCATTCATTACTAAATTAACAAACGAATATCACAAGCAGAAGCAATATTATTTTTCGATACTACATCCGCAATGAGTAATATATTTAGCATTAATATATAAAAACTGATTACAAGTTATAAATTGAGATATGGTATAAGATGGCAAGCGAAGATCTTGGTTTGAATCCAACCCAAGAGGATGACTGAAGCCTGCTGTGCATCATGAAACACGCTGGCCATGTTACAGTGGAAAACAATTTCGTCCCTGAATAGGAGTAGGGGGGAACCTGCATGGGTCCCATAGCATAACAACTTATCACTGATGGTAACTTCTATGGATTACTTGATTTTTATTGGCTGTTAAGCAATGTTACCATGGAAGAAGTAGAAGAGGTGGAGGAGGAGGAGGAGGAGGAGGAGGTGGAGGAGGAGGAGGGGGAGGAGGTGGAGGAGGTGGAGGAGGTGGAGGAGGTGGAGGAGGTGGAGGAGGAGGAGGAGGAGGAGGAGGTGGAGGAGGTGGAGGAGGTGGAGGAGGTGGAGGAGGAGGAGGAGGTGGAGGAGGAGGGAGGAGGAGGAGGAGGAGGAAGGAGGAGGAGGAGGAGGAGGAGGAGGAGGAGGTGAAGAAGAAGAGGAAGAGGAGGAGGAGGAGGAGGAGGTGGAGGAGGTGGAGAGGAGGAGGAGGAGGAGGAGGAGGAGGAGGAGGAGGAGGAGGAGGTGAAGAAGAAGAGGAAGAGGAGGAGGAGGAGGAGGAGGAGGAGGAGGTGGAGGAGGTGGAGGAGGAGGAGGAGGAGGAGGAGGAGGAGGTGAAGAAGAAGAGGAAGAGGAGGAGGAGGAGGAGGAGGAGGAGGTGAAGAAGAAGAGGAGGAGGAGGAGGAGGAGGAGGAGGAGGTGGAGGAGGAGGAGGAGGAGGAGGAGGAGGTGAAGAAGAAGAGGAAGAGGAGGAGGAGGAGGAGGAGGAGGAGGAGGAGGTGGAGGAGGTGGAGGAGGAGGAGGAGGAGGAGGAGGAGGTGGAGGAGGTGGAGGAGGTGGAGGAGGTGGAGGAGGTGGAGGAGGTGGAGGAAGAGGAGGAGGAGGAGGTGGAGAAGGTGGAGGAGGTGGAGGAGGTGGAGGAGGTGGAGGAGGAGGAGAGGTGGAGGAGGAGGGAGGAGGAGGAGGAGGAGGAGGAGGAGGAGGAGAGGAGTGAAGAGAAGAGGAAGAGGAGGAGGAGGAGGAGGAGGAGGGGAGGTGGAGGAGGTGGAGGAGGAGGAGGAGGAGGAGAGGAGGAGGAGGAGGAGGAGGGAGGTGAAGAAGAAGAGGAAGAGGAGGAGGAGGAGAGGAGGAGGAGGAGGAGGAGGTGGAGGAGGTGGAGGAGGAGGAGGATGAGGAGGAGGTGAAGAAGAAGAAAAGAGGAAGAGGAGGAGGAGGAGGAGGAGGAGGAGAAGGAGAAGAAAAAGAAGAAGAAGGAAAAAAAGAAAGAAAAAAAATATGTAGACTTACTCTGACCATCTTTCCAAACAAGAATTTATGAAGAGGTTTAAGATCCTGTGATTTTGTCTTCTCCAAAAAATGTGCAACTAGAACGAAAATAGAATAAAAAGAAAGACAATAAGAGACTAGATAATCAAGGTCATGAGGAGATCATGATAATAGCAATTATCATGCATTGGTACAACTAAGTACAAATTAACGCCAGCAATTACATTAATGTAAGAACCTTGTTAAAACTAAATATTCATCAAAATAATATTTGTCGTCACCACAAAATTGTAGCATTTTGGTATCACTAAATGATAACACATTGAAACTTGTGAAAGTACATTAACAAACCAAATTCAGCTGAAGCTATCTTAAGCCATATCCTTATCATGAAAAAATTCCTTCTTTTCAACTTTTCATCTTCTTTTTAGAATCAAAAAAGATGCTGTTGCATGAGACTTTGAACAAACTTTAAGACCCTAACAAAAAAAAAAAAAAAATCTCTATGAATGGAAAGCTGAACGAACGTAAATTTACAACTACATATCCCTTTTCAGTATTGCACAAAAGCAAAATCAAAAACCTCATTCCCCGCACCCTTCTAACCTCTTGATTAACAGGTGCCAAACTTACCACCAGTTACGGTGACAACATATGGACCTTGGCCCCATTTCACAACAGTTGTCATCAGTGACAAATGAAAGTTTTTGTTATAAGCTACTTGAAATCTTTGCTTCTGATTGGTTATCAGCAGATTTGTCACTGATTTTTTGTTATTTGTCATTAAAAAAAAAAGCTTTGTGAAACGAGTCCCGATCAGCTCGTTTATATAGCCGAGACGATGACCCATGCTTAATTAATGCAAAGTCATTTTGGCTATGTGACTCCACATAAGATGATGTCATCAAGTCGACAGCTGGTATTTAGATCGACACACTTCGAATTTCAAAGCTTTAGATATTGAGTTTTCAGAGAGCTGTTAAGCTTTAACCCCTCTGACAGATACTAAAATGCCATATAATTGATATATATGTAATGTTTGGCTTTTAAGCTTTCTGTTGATATAAAATTATTCCATTTTATTTTTCACTTCCGACATGGTCTTTAATCTATTTCGGAAAGAATTTTCTTTAAGATAATATGAATCCAGCTTACTCTTACGAAGTTTGGGAAAGAATCTATAACAAA